AGAGAGAGAGAGAGAGAGAGAGAGAGAGAGAGAGAGAGAGAGAGAGAGAGAGAGAGAGAGAGAGAGAGAGAGAGAGAGAGAGGAGAGTGAGAAGGAGGAAGGGAGAGTTAGATAGAGAGACACGAATGAAACGTCATGCAAATGAGAATGCCATGAAATGAAAACATCAATCAATAAAACAAGAACCTTGCTAAGAAAGCAGAGCTGGGCATGAGTAACGGAGAGTTGGGAGGAGGGGAAGGGGGAGAGGGAGGAGCAACGGGGTATGCCCAGGGGGAGGGGGGAGGGGGCAGAAGAGGGATGGTATATCCAAGGGAGGGGTGTAAGGGGCAGGAAAAGGGGATATGTCGGGGAGAGAGGGAGAGGGCATGAGAGAGAGAGGAGGGGGAGGGGGTATATTCAGGTATCTTGAAGCCACACTAGGTGACCACACAGAGGGGGTACGGGGGTAGGGGGAAGGATAACACCTTGGGTTAACAAGGTGGACTTGTGAGAGGCGAAGGAAAGGAAGGAACACAACACACACACACACACACACACACACACACACACACACACACACACACACACACACACACACACACACACACACACACACACACAGAAAAAAGAGGTGGGACCGGAATAGAGAAAGGGAGGAGAGATAGAAGGACACGATAACATACAGAGAGGGAGAGAGGGGGAGGGTGAGAAGAGTCAGTATCATTCTGGAAACCACAAAGAGTCATCAAGGGGGGAGAGGGGGAGGGACAGGGGGTAGGGGAGAGGGGGGTAGAGGGAAACCACAAGGAGTCCTGAGGACCACTGAAAGGAAATTTTGGTGGGATGGAAGCATTAATTAGAAAATAATGAGGAAGGAATACAAGGACAAAGTGAGAAGAGAGAGGAGGGAGGAGGGAGAAAATGGGGAATAGGGAGAGAGGGGGAGAGAGGGGCGGATAAAAAAGGGAAGTAACGAATGGAAATGGCGTGCAAAGAGGGATAGAGTAAAAGACTAAGAAATACAAAAAAAATGAGAGGGGGAAAGAGGGAAAAGGAGAGAGACCAATGTAGAACAGTGAACTGTATATATATATATATATATATATATATATATATATATATATATTATATATATATATATATATATATAGAGAGAGAGAGAGAGAGAGAGAGAGAGAGAGAGAGAGAGAGAGAGAGAGAGAGAGAGAGAGAGAGAGAGAGAGAGAGAGAGAGAGAGAGAGAGAGAGAGAGAGAGAGCAAGAGCGAGACAAATAGACAGAGCAAGATATAAAGCGAGAGACCGCGCGAGAGCCGCCCACCGTCGAGGAGGGCGCGACGCGGGGAGAGCGGGCGGCAGCGAGAAGAACCGCAGTCATGAGCGTCGAGGGGTTACGAACCTTTGGAACCAGTTCAGCGCGTCTGCGTCACGCCGGGCGGCCAGTGGGCGGCGTGAATCAAATCCCAGGTTGGCGTCAAGCTCTCACAATGGGCGGGTGAACGACCTATGACACTGCGAGGGCGGGAGATCGACCGTGCTAGAGACAAGTCGAAATGGTCGCGGGATCTTTTTCTTCTCTTTCTTCTCTTGCTTCTTTTTCTCTTTCTTCTTTTTATTATTATTTTTTCTTTCTTTTTATTATTATTCTTATTTATTTTTTATTATTATTCTTTTATCATTATTATTATTTTTTCTTTTTCTTCTACTTTCTCCCGAAGTGAAGGAAGGCGGGAGGGTGGACAGAGGAGAGAGAGAAAGGAAAGGAAAATATTTCTGGTTATCGAGCGGTAGAAGAGGACGGGAGACGACGGAGAAGAAGAACAGAAGAGAGCGGAAGAGAGGAAACAACGAAGGCGACGAACGCAGCGTATACAATATATACAACTACTAATAACAATAACGATAAACACGATAATAAACGATAATAAGCATAAACGACGATAATAATAACGGCTACAATAACAAAAGCAAAACGAAGAAGACACAAAACGAAGAAGAAAAAGAGGAGAACAGACGAAGAAGAGAGAGAAAAAAAGAAAGACGATCCAAGCCATCGTCGGCAAATTCAAGTTCATTTATCAGCGTGATTACCATAAGCCCAAGGCGCATCTCCACGCCCAAGGGAGCTCCTGCTGGGTCAACGCTCCTCCTGGATCGTCCAAAGGCGCCCGGTGACCACAAGGAGGAGGAGAGGAGTGAGTGAGGAGGAAAAGGAGGTGGAGGAGGAGGGAAATGAGGAGGTGGAGGAGGAGGAAAATGAGGGTGAGGAGAGGAGGAAAATGAGGAGGTGAGGAGGAGAAAAGAGGAGTCGAGGTGGAGGAAAAAAATTAGGAGGTCGAGGTGGAAGGAGGAGGCAAATGAGGGGTGGAGGAGAGTGAGTTTGGTGGAAGGGAGGAGAATGTGGAAAGAGGTGGAAGTGGAGGTGTAGGAGAATGAGGAAGTGGGAGGGGGTCAGAAAAGAAGTAGAGGTAAAGACAATGGTGGAAGAAAAGGGAGGAAGAGGAGGAGAAAAAAGTAGGAGGGCTTTAATAACAACAACAAAAATAACAATAATAATGACAATAATAATAACAAAGACGAAGGGCAAAGTGGGCCGAGAAGCGATACAAAAATAAAGAGAAAGAGAGAAAAAAAATCAATATTCCTTTTTTTTGCACATCTACGTAAATCTTCTCTCCAACCTCAAGCAAACCAAGTACTTAGCGCCGCCACAGCAGAGCATGCTAATCAGGCAGATTATGAGGGGAGGTGAGGAGGAGGAGTAGAAGGGGTGAGGAGGGGGGTAGAAGGGGGAGGTGAGGGGGAGTAGTAGAAGGGGGAGGTGAGGAGGGGGAGTAGAAGGAGGAGGAGGAGGAGGGGAAGTAGAAGGAGGAGGAGGAGGAGGGGAGCAGAGTGGATATAACATGCAATGGTTCCTCATGACCGAAAACCATGAAATTCTCATTGGGGGGGGAGGGGGAGGGAAAAAAGTCTCGTGATTAAAACGCATTTGCATACATTTTCCCGTCCTCGTGATTGGAGCGCCGTGAAAAGAGCGTCAATAAGCGATGTCGAATGTCACGTCACGTGACTCGGCTACGATTGGCGTCTTCAGGAGTCTCTCGAGAGAATGGACAAAAGGAAGAAGAAGGAGAAGAAGAATGGAAAAGAAGGAGAAGAAGAATGGAGAAGCAGCAGGAGAAGAAGAATGGGAGCAGGAGAATAATAAAAAAATGGAGATTAAAAAGAAGCAAAAAAAAAAAGAAGAAAAAAAAAGCGGTGTACAGTTAAATCTCCCCTTTCCTCTCCTCTATCAATGATGCACACACAAAATCCAAGTAACTGGATTCGACAAGCGCCTCCTGCGTTGCAAGGTGGGTGAGACGTCCTGTTGCAAAGCGGTCGACCCTTTGCCATCCTGCAACATACCGGTAGCTGAAGCAATATTTGCAACTCGTTTGGTGCAAGGAACAGAGAAGGGAAAGCCACTCGGAAGACCAAGGAAAATGCAAATTTACGTTCACACCAGAAACACAAAGAAAGGAAAGTGGAAGAAAGAGAAGGGAAGAAAGGGAAGAATGGTGAGGAGAGAAGAGAGAGGGAGGGGAGAGAGGAGAAAGGGAGGGGATAGAGGGAGAGGGGTAAAGGAGGGAGAGGAGAGGGAGAGAAAGAGAGAAGAGAGAGAGAAAGTAGGAAGCAAAGGAACTTAACGAAATCCGTGCATGCCACCAAGCCGCCCAGACACGAGGCGTGAAGGAAGCACACACACAAGGCGAGTTTGCAGCAAGCAGGGTGGCGCGCGTGAAATCAGAATGGGTGGGCGTGAACAGCGTATGCGTCCGTGTGCGTGAATGTGCGTGGAAAGAAAGAAGGGCGCACGCCGTGGCCAATCCGAGGCGACCAGCGTTAAATAGTCACGTCTGAAGTAGCGTTATACGCAACGCACCGTGGTACGTCGATGGCGCAGGCGTGTCGGGGAGGGGAAGGGTAGGGGGTGGGGGTTGGAAAGGGAGAAATGGGGTCTCGGTGGGGTGGGGGGCGTTGAGCTAAGGGAAGAGGGAAGGGGAGGGAGGAAAAGGAGAACTAGAATGATGATGATGATAATGAGGAGGAAAAGAAGGGAAAGCAGGAGGAGGAGATGAAATAGGAGGAAAAGGGGGGAAGAAAATGGAAAGGAGAAGGCGAAGAAAATGAAAAGGAAGGAGAAGGAGAGGAAAATGAAAAGGGAAGGAGAAGGAGAAGGGCGAAGGGAAGGTGGAAGGGGCGGGGGACGACGCCGGGCGCGAGGGCGTGACCGAGTGGTCAAACCCCTCTCCGAAGCGACTTTCGCACACCGAACGGCGCCAACGACAGCCGCGTGGCACCGACGGAAGGCGTGGAAGAATTTCCCCGACGCGAGCTGGATGAGCGTGTGGGTGAACGGACTTCCTCGCCGTCCAGGGGCGATGAGGCGCGCGGCGAGGAAGCGCCATGCATGAGGAGGAAGTATTGTGTGCGGCGAGGAAGCGGCTTGGTAGGAAGGCCTGTATTGTGAGGAATCGCTGCATGTGGCGAGGCCCGTGCGGTGAGGAGGCGCGGCGTGGCTCGAGGGGATTCTCATTCAGACGTGCGCGAATAATGCCGGGATGATGAATGCGGTGAGGATAAATCCGCCGGGTGAGTGTAATGAGTGTGGTGAGCGCCGGAATACGCACGCTGCGACGGGGGAAATTGGGAGGCCAAGCGATCCCAACGTGAAAGGAATGTTATAACGTCTTAGCTTATAAATGCAAAGGCAGGGAAAATAGCCGCTGCGGCAAACCGCAATGGCAAGGCTATAACAAGGCTCGCGTAAGTATTAAGATAGAAAGATAGATATGCAGTGAGACGGACAGACAGATTGACAGACACACACACACACGCACACACACACACACACACACACACACACACACACACACAATCAAACAAACACGGCAGACCAACTCGCACATCACCGCCACTTCTCCATCCGAGGACAAGCCCCCAAACAATAACACACAGACAAACCCAAAAAGGATACAGTTCATCATATCGGCGACGCAGGCCATTTCCTCCGAGTGGTAAAAGGACTTGAACTCCTTACGCAGGTCATAGAAGGCGTTGTAGTACTCGGGGAGGTCAAGGTTCTTCGCCAGCGCCTTCGGGTGGATCACCTGACGGAGGTGAAGCTGGCCGTCCGTCACCATGGCGACCTTACCTGTGTCCCCGTCTGCTATCTTGCTCAGGATGGCGTCGAAACTGCGGAGAAAAAAGATTTCATTAGCATCTTCAATGTCCTGTGATATTTCCTTGATAACTACATCTAGTGGGATTAACAGGCAGGATAAAGGGACAAGAAGCGAACAAGAAAAAAAGACAATGGAGAAGAAAAGCCTAATGCAAACAATGAAAAAAAAAAAAATTGATAATAACGAAAATAATCATAATGTTTCCTAATAATCAATAAAAAAAATAATAATAGCAGCAGTAATAATAATAATAATAAGCAGCATAATAATAATAATAATAATAATATAATAATAATAATAATAATAATAATAATTAAAATAATAACAATAATTACAGTGAAATTCTTCCTTAGGTACCACAAGAATTAATTCCAGTAAAATGCGACAAACCAAATTTACTTCCATCTACAATAGATAAACACCACATATTCCTCATACAATACTCAAACTCATAACATCATCCTTTCTCTCCATCTCACCTCTCTTCCCTCTCCCCTCTCTCTCCCCCTCTCCCACCTCTCCTCTCCTCCTCCACCTCTCTCTCCCTCTCCACCTCTCTCTCCCTCTCCACCTCTCTCCCCCCCTCTTCCCCTTCCCACCTCTCCCTCTCCACCTCTCTCCCTCTCCACCTCTCTCTCCCCTCTCACCTCTCTCCCTCTCCCTCTCACCTCTCTCCCTCTCCACCTCTCCACTCCCTTCCCCCTCCACCTCTTCTCCCTCTCCACCTCTCTCCCTCCCGCCTCACACACACAGAAATCCCCCAAACCCCCCCCACCCCCACCGCCCACCGCCCAACACCCACACGCGCCCCACGAGCCCGCCACCTGTCGCTTCTCCGCAACACGTGATGGACCGATAGATCACGTAGGGCGGCAGGACGCGGTGAACGTTTGATGAAACCATCCGCCCTCGATGGTTTGGGCGCGGCTGGCGGCTTGAGGGAGGGAGAGGGGAGAGGAGAGTAAAGGGAGGGAGGGAGAGAGGAGGAGAAAGGGAGGGAGGGAGAGAGGTGAGCGCACGAGGAGGTGAGCACGCGCGAGAGGGAGGGACAGCGCGAAGGAGAGATGGGAGGGAGGTGAGAGAGAGGAGGGAGAGAGGCGACAGGGAGAGGGAGGCAGAGCGATAGAGAGGGAGGCGAGGGAGGAAGAGAAGGGAGGATAGGCGAGAGAGGGAGGAGGGCAGGAGAGGGAGGGACAGGACTATCAACGGGCAGGACGGACGGGAGCGCGCAGAGACGGCCGGCAGGCGAGAGCGGAGCGGAGGGACGGACGACCCTACCACCGACGCAGGGCAGGGAGGGAGCGGAGTACGAGGGGGCTGACGAGGGCGCGCGCACGAGCGGCGGGATGGACGAGGCGTACGGATGACTAGACGACGTCAGCGGGAGAGCAGTGAATGTCGGACAGACGGAGAGACGGGCGAACCCGGGCACGCGTTGAGGGACGGCGAGCCAGAGATCGGAGCAGAGGAGGCGAGAGAGGGAGCGGGAAGAGGGCAGGCAGAGACGCGAGAAAGGGAGGAGCACGGGAGAAGAGGAGAGAGAGACAAGGGACGAGGAGAGAGTAGGGAGGAGAAGAAGAGGAGAGGAGAAGAGGCCCGCAAGAGGGAGGGAGAGGAGATGGAGAGACGAGGGAGACGGGAGGGAGTAGAGACGTGAGGGAGAGAAGGACAGGAGGAGAGGAGGAGGAGGGAGGGAGGAGGAGAGAGGGAGGGAGGGATGGCGAGAGAGGAGGAGAGGGAGGGAGAGGAGGGAGAGGGAGAGGGAGGGAGAGGAGAGGCGAGGGAGAGAGGGAGGAGAGAGGGGAGGGAGGGAGGGAGGGAGAGGGGAGAGGGAGAGAGGAGGAGAGAGGGAGAGAGAGAGGGAGGAGGAGGAGAGAGGGAGAGAGGAGAGGAGAAGGACGGAGGAGAGGAGAGGAGGGAGGGAGAGAGGCGAGGGAGAGAGGGAGAGGGAGGAGGAGAGGGAGGAGAGAGGGAGAGGGGGGAGGGAGGAGGGAGGGAGGGAGGGAGAGGGAGGGGAGAGGAAAGGGAGAGGGAGAGGGAGAGGAGAGGGAGAGGGAGAGGAGGGGAAGAGAAGGAGAGAGAGGAAGAGAGAGAAGAGAGAGAGGAGGAGCGAGAAGAGAGAGGAGGGAGGGAGGGAGGAAGGGAGGAAGAGAAAGGAGAGAGAGAGAGAGAGAGAAGAGAGAGAGAGAGAGAGAGAGATGAGAGAGAGAGAGAGAGGAGAGAGAGAGAGAGAGAGAGAGAGAGAGAGAGAGAATAGAAAGAGAAAGAGATAGAGAGAGAGGAGGATGAGGAGAGAGAGAAAATGGGGGAAGGAGAGAGAGAAGAAAAATGGGAGAGAGAGAGAGATGGAAAATGGGGGGAAGAGAGGAGAGAAGAGGGTCAACAAAAAAGTAAGAAAAGAACGAAGGAACAGAGAGCGAAAAGAGAAAATAGGACGAAGAAAGAAACTGAAAAGGAAAAAAGGTCACAAGATCCACCGTCGGACGAGAGCCCTCCTGAAGCTAGGAGCACGTCCGGATGAAACGGGAATCTGTTCCGGATGAACCGGAATCTTTACCGGATGAGCGGGGCACGAGAGGGCATCTTCAACCAACAGAAAGGCAGAAGCGACGGGCACAGAGGGCGGCAGAGGGGCGGAGCGATACCCTGAGCTTCTTCGATCGCCCGGACTTTCCTTGTAGGGCGCTGAGAGGGACAGGCGCTGTTTTTTCTGTTATTCTTCTCGAATTAAAAACAGAAGAGGAGGAGGGAGGGAGGAGGAGGAGGAGGGGAGGAGAAGGAGGAGGGTGGAGAAAAAAGGAGGAGGAGGGGGAGGGAGGAGGAGGGGAGGGAGGAGGAAGAAGAGAAGAAGGAGAATGAAGTGAAGATGAAGATGGAGGTGAGGTGAAGATGTTTAAATAATCAACGATGAGGAACAAATAAATAATAACAATAATAATAATAATAACACTAAGAAAAAAATTAGAATGCCAACCGCAGCAAAGCCCAAAAATGCTTCCCACCGCGCAGCCAAAAGCCCGCCCGAGCAGCGCCCGCACGCCCGCCCGCCCGCCCAAACCCCAGCGCCGCCCCCCCCGCCCCCGCCGCCGCCGCCGCCCGCATGGTTCGTGACTCGAAGGCTACGCTGTTCCACGCGGCGTCGGCGGCGTGATGCTCGGTCCGGCCTCCCCGCGCTCGCATCCTCGGCGGTCCGGGATGAGATCCTCGGATCGGGCGGCTCCTTACGTGGATCTGAGCTTCGGGATTTGTTTTCCTTGGCGGATCCGATGTTATAGTCAACGCTAGTTTTTATTAATTTTATTTTATTTATCTATTTACTTTTATTATATATTTATCTATTTACTTTCTTTATATATATTTATCTATTTACTTTTATATTATTTATTATTTACTTTTATAATTTATCTATTACCTTTTTATTTATATTTATATATTATTGATTTATTCATTTATTTATTTACACATCACTTATTACTATTTTACTTATTATTTATCTATTATTATTATTATTTATTATTATATTTATTATTATTATTTTTTTTTTGGGGGGGCGTCAAGCTGTATCCTAAACCAGGAGATTCTTTTCCTTTTTCTTTGGCGGGGTTCCAAGCTGTATCCACGCTAGGGAATTTTAATTTTTCCTTTTATTTCCTGGCGGGTCGGTTCCCGGCCGTATCCTTCCCTCGCTGGATTTCCTCCTCCATACCCTGACCGCAATTCCAAGACATATCCTAAACCGCTGGATCTATTTGGGCAATATCCTACACCTGTGGATTCGTGACACAAGCGAGTTCTTTCCTATATCCTACATTATTTATTTTATTTTTATGTTTTATTATTATCATTAATATTATTATCATTATTATTATTATTTTTTTTTTTTTTTTTTTTTTTTTTTTTTTTTTTTTTTTTTGAGGGAAGGGGATCCCACCTCTCGAAGAGTCATGCAAATCGAGACCGTCATGCAACCGCCATAAGGGTCAATATCACTCAATGACGTGACATGCGCATGACAAATGTGTCGCACAAGAATCCCAACGGATTTGCCAGAAATACGGGATTCAAATCTTACGCGACAGTCGGTAGATTTCTAAAAGAAAAAAAAGAGAGAGAAAGGAAAACGGGATCCCTTGACTAAGAAAAAAAAGAAAAAAAGAGAAAGAGAAGGGAAAAAGAGAAGAAAGGAAAGAAAAGAGAAGAAGGAAAAGAAAAAAAGAAAAAAGGGAAAAGAAAAAGAAAAAAAGGAAAATAGAAAGAAAAAAAGAAATGGAAAGAAAAAAGGAAAATGGAAAGAAAAAAAAAAGGAAAAAAAAGGAAAAGGAAAGAAAAAGGAAAATGGAAAAAAAAAAAGGAAAAAAGAAAGAAAAAAAATGAAAATGGAAAGAAAAAAAGAAATGGAAAGAAAAAAGGGAAAAGGGAAAGAAAAAAATGAGAAAGGGTAAGAAAAAAGAAAAAAAAAAGAAAAAATGGATCTTCATTACCGAACACTTGTCTCCGCTCCGACAATAACAATCCAACGATTCTCTTTCCTCCAACAACATCTCAGCTATCGATTCTCCCTTTCTTCTTCCCTCTCTTTATTTTTCTGATTTTTGGCTACTTCTTTTTTGGTGATCCGCCAAGAAGGCCAAAATGAAAGAGGATGAGGGAAGGGGGAAGGGGGAAGGGGGGCGAAGGAAGGACAGAGAAGGAGAACGATAAGGAGAAAACCAAAGAGAAATTGAAGGAAAAAAAATAGAAATAGAAAAACAAGGAATCACAAGAATCGTTCGCCCGTTTATCGCCCGCCCGCAAGTCCGCCCGTAGTCGCCTCACGTCTCCAGGGCTCCCTCGACCGCCGCCGCGTCCGCACGTCACGCCCGAACCACAACGACTCTACCGCTGGGAAAACGACGCTCGCTCTTCACACCGACACAGCCGCCAATTATCATGGTAATTATACGTACATACACGCACACACGAAATGTGCGTTATATATACATATAGAGAGAGAGGGGGAGAGGGAGGAG